TGGGCCGGTGGTGCTGTTCTTACGTGGCACGACAGTACGTGTAATTCTATTAGCCATAGCTGATGCTGTGGTATGCGATGTCACTATTTTGCATTTGCACAAAAAATGACGACAATAGAGTAGTAATATTTCCACTCCAACTCTGTCACAGGTAGCCGGCGATAGACCGAGGTGCCTGGGTGACTTTGCGGCCCAGGTTCTTGTAAGAGAAAAACAGTCACGTATGTGTGTACGCTGATGTACAGTCAACTTCGCTAATAACGACTGCGGATATAACGACAGAATTTCCATGCCCAGAGCAAAGTCCCATCCCACTGTAATACATATATTAATGAGACTTCGGGTATAACAACACTTTGCGAATAAGGACACCTTTTTGATGCCCCGCCGAGTGTCGTTATATGTGAAATTGACTGTACCTGTAAAAGTCATGCTGTTACTCTTGTAGTCTCTCACTTCAGTCCTACTTGGTGTGTTTGTCTGATGTGGTAGTCGTAACTATTGCCCAATTCTAGGTGAGATTCGTACAAATACCAGCAAGTCTAAACGGGGAAGGCAGCTGTTATAAATCCGAGAGACAAAGGATCAAGGTCTGGAAACATGGACTGGTCGTGTAATTGCACTGTCCCGATGCACTTCTGCAGTGACGGCGATGATGATTGCATGCGATATCGTTAACAAATGCACACTGCTGTTGTGTTGTTGTCACTGGATGACAGCATGTACCAGTTGTAGATCGGATTGAAACGAGAAAGTCGATTCTGGTTTATAATATTATTGTTACTCAATGATGCAGACAGCCAGACTGTTTCGGCCAATGAGATAATATTACCAGTATTGTTATAAAATACACAGTTGCGTGATGTTTGCGGCCTTCATTTTATTCATAGCTCTATTAAAATTATGATCTCCTCACAGATTATTTCTACTTGAAGTAGATTTAACTCTTTAAAAGTTTACTTGTTCTGGTACCCTCAGCTATAAATGTTAGGTTTCTTCTTCATACATGTAAGTGTTCTTTTTAGTATCCTCAGCTACAACACCTGTGTAGCACGCTGTAAAATTATATTACATGCGGCATGAGATTCATGACCGTGAGTTTCCCTGCTGAACTTCTTTAATTCCTTGGCAAGTGAATAAGGTGGAATAAGACATTCCAGTCAGCACTGCAGGGTAAGTATGGGTCCCAGGCTGTGTGATGTTGAGTGCTGCAGCATGAGTGTGTGTGTGTGTGTGTGTGTGTGTGTGTGTGTGTGTGTTTGTGTGCGTGCGCGTGCGTGAGCATGTGTGTGTGGGGGAGTGTGTTATGTGTGTGTAAGCATGGTGTAAGGATGTGTGTGTGTGTGTGTGTGTGTGTGTGTGTGTGTGTGTGTATGTGTAGGGGGTGCACTAATCCTCAGTTGGGGAGGTCATTGAAATCAAGGATGCCACACTAACAACCTATGTGACTTGTACAACACAGGTCATGCGTATATCGGCTGGCAGCACTGAGTACTGATGTAGTAGTACATGTGTGTGCTGACTATAATTATTGTAGCGATGACTCCAGTGTAGGTTCTACAATGCAGTGTCTGTATCTAGTCACTGCTTGTCGGTATGGTTACTACTACCCTGACACATGTCATGTGCAGGCTGGAAAACGTTTGCTAACAAAAGAGGATCATGAGATCCGTCCCAGGTACAGGCCAAGAAATCACCAGGGAGTAGAAAAATACCAGTATTTTACTACTTCCTGTTAGCACCTATAAAGGCGGTGGTGCAGGGGAATACGATGGCCCATGGGAGGGAGGGAGGGTAGTGCTAGTTTCACACTGTGAATTGCGCCAAAGGTAAGCTATAAAAGTAAAGTTTCCCTAGGGGATGGTGGTCGGGGCTAGGGATGGCTATTATTGGAAAATGCTTCTTCTTGCTCTCCTGCTCCTTTTTCAATTTTGACTTCCTTCTTGTTTGCCTCTGTGGACCTGTGGACACACACACACACACAAGGGAGTTGAATAGACCCAATTCTCTAGACAACTCCCTGCACCACTACACACACATGATATCAACACAGGCAACAACATTACAACAACAACATGGATTGTACGATGCAAAAGTGATCAGTGATTGTGCAGGGGACATGCCGTCTTGCAAGCTTGGTCAACAGCAGCCACCAGGACAGCCATCGAAGACGTTTTTAAAAGACTGCATACCCGGTCCCCAGTCTGCTATGTGCTCTTGCTCAACTTCCCTAATCGGTTTTCTACAATGCAACACGGGATGGTGGACTGGTGATACCCCAGCAAACAGGAAAAACAGAGGACCAATGTACAGTCCGAACCTGTGTATAGGTTTCCCCTCGTAGTAGTAGACAACTCCGGGGGGGGGTTCAACTGCGTTGTCCTATATTCGAGTATTACCCACATATCCCGACTTGCATGTACCCATTTCAAGCGTCAGGGGATTTTTGATCGTTGTCTACAAAATAATTTGTGGCCCAAATCGGTGCTCTTGATTGATTTACAGGGTACCAGGGACAAAGAGTGGTACGGTCAATACCGTAGTGATTGTAGCGTGTCCGGCGCCTCTGTGATGTGGCTGCCACCAGCTGAATTATTAGCAGTGTTCCCCTGAGGCTGAATGCTGTATACATGTGCACAAGAGCACATAAACTCTTGATGTGCAAAGCACAGCCATTGGACGCCTAGCTACGGTCTCCGGGAACCAGGTTTGAAAATCCTAGACGAGTGATCAGAATGAGGGGATTATGGTCATGTTGAAACAAACAATTGGAATGTGTAGTGAATTCTGTACTCGCCATCCACTCGATACTACTTTGGGAAGAGAGTTCTTGTACAACTCTTTGGGTAAACCAGTAGTACTAGTATACTTGACATGCATGGTGTCAAGAAAGCGTACACCAAATGTGAAAATGCTGGTGGGAGAACTAGAAATTTGGCTTTCACTCCGGAATGAACGGAATAGGATTCCGCCATGGATTCTGACGACCAAATCTGTGCATCGTAGAGAATTCTAGGGTGGACAGAACCGGTCGCAATCAAACGCGCCCGAAGTCTCAACTGTTACACACACTCCGTCCAGAAACCATTCTTCATCTTTTCAAGTTTGCCAGGGATTCTCTGGAGCTGCGCATGCACGCAGCTTGCTAGCTGGAACTAAATGCTGATCAGTGGCTAGCATGCACACTGTGGATATGTGCTCTGCACTCTACCAGAGACATTATGTTTTAACTGTCGACGCATGCCTGTATTAATTTTCCTTTTCACGTTTTCAAGCATGCCTCTAGTACATTGTGCATAGCTTTATTGCAGCTTGTAGAATTTGTACCCAGAACAAAGACCTGTCCCTCCAGGAAATCGCGATTCCACGGATGCAACAAATTTCGCGATTTTGGCCCAAACCCGCGATTTTCAGCAAAATCCGCGATTTCCCGCGTTTTTTTGTTGTTTTCTGCACTATATCTCACATTTTTGGCACTTTCACACAGTTCTTTCAAAGATCCTGTAGGTTATTTGCACAGTACGACTCCCGAGTAGATATACGCTGCAACAAATTTCGTGATTTGGCCCAAATCCGCAATTTTCTGCAAATAATTCCGCGAATTCCTGGCAAGTTCTGCATCATTCCGCACTTTTCGTCGCATTTTTTGTTACTTTCTGCTGCAATTTCTTGCGCAAGTTTTCGAGAGTTTTTTCCGCAAATTCCCGCAGGGACAGAAAGACAATCCCGGCACCGAGACTCTCTTACCTGCACTGTTTGCGGTTGTGTTCAAATCCCGTCGAAGTCCGCTGTCGGAAGACGACACTAGCGCTAGTCGCTCCGCTGGGTCACATACCATGTAACAGACACCATGCAAGCCAACATGACATTGTGTCGCCTGTATCGGTTGCTTCTCCCACATCGGCACTCGTGAAGACAGGCCTCCGTCTCAGTGTCCAGCCGTAAAGTAGGCCCACGACTCCAATGCTGTTCGACGCTTGCGACGTGTTCGACGGAAACTGCATTTCAAACCCATGGCGATAGCCAACGGTAGACCTCAAGGGAAGGGAAGGAGCCACTACGGAAGCGACAAGGCTCCGGGTTAGCCAAGGTCGAGCGCGATGTTTGTCTGTCAACCTTCGTCAAGGCGGTGGCTAGTCCGTAGTCGGCTTGACCGTACCCATGCACGGCAAAGCTCAAGTCGACTAGAATACGGAAACAGCGGCGTGGAGATTACTGATATTTTAGTCCTGCCATCACAGAGTCGTTCCAGAGGCGTACAGCGTGATTGGTTGCCCTATCCTGCTTGGAACCAAAGACTAAAAAGAGAGACTCTCATCAACACAAGTCTAAGATGTCTGACAAGGAGACAGCAAAAAAATGGAGCTCCGGTTTCTATGAGTGGATGTCTTCAAGTGCCGTGTCACTGTAAACTGTCACCGTTGAGGAATAGGAGAGTTTCCAAGGAAGAAAAATCAGCACGAAACTTGGTTGTACGACTTGCACTTGTAAGTTGTAGCGCTAGCTGCTCCATTGCCATGATTACCAGTTGCGTGTCACCCTCACATATACGAACACCTTGGAGACCATAAATTAATTATCTGATTCCGTGTAGTCTGCAGATCAGTGAAGTTCGGATAGCCAAAGCCTAGCTTTCGTCATATTGCTGTAATAAATTACAGACTATTGTGTGCGTGTGTGTGATGCATGTGTTCACGCGTGCGTGTGTCTGTTCTACTTTACCACCTGAGCTGAACAGTAATGTACAATGTATGCTGACAAGTAACAGTTAGTTGAGTATCATTGTCACGTGATCAAAACACCTGCAGTGCACCCACCACCAAGCACTCACTGCGTGCTGGGACAACCTACAGCAGTACCTACTACTAGTACTAGCATCAAACAAAAACAAAAATTCGACGGGTTAGCATACCCCGCCATGATCAGGCTACAACATGTAGCATGTTGTATCAATGACCCGAGCACTAGATATGCAGCACATCACAAGATGTCACCAAGAGGGGGTTATGTACTCTTGATGTCACTCAATTACTCAATCAAAATGACCATCAGCAATGCTATGAAGTGGGAACATATAGCTAAAGCTGAGGAACAAATAAAACCATGCACACCCAAGGGCGTGGACAAGATTAAAATTTAAAAAATGGCGTTGAACAGACCACGATCACGTAACCAGGATGAAAAACTAAAGGGGAAAGTACCCGTGACAGAACACCACAAGCAGTGAACACAGCCTGCTGCAGCGGATCAAGGCGGATTAGAACAAAACAGCTGCGGGGAGATGCTGTACCAATGCTTCTCAGAATAAGCCTACACAGCGAGAATAGCTAAGATAACGCGCTGTGCCGTGCACATCACAGCCAGCGGTGAGCAACACACGGATACAATCATACACTACACAACCACGACGACACAAGAAGCCCTGAAGTAAAAAAGCAATAAAGCAAAGTCGTCAAGAAGCAGCGCATGGCCTGCCAGTCAGCACATGATGACTCAACAAAGATCAAAAAGGACTTGCCTGATGAGCAGCTACCAGCAGCAAACGACCAGCTAGCAACAAGATGCCAAGCAGCATGCGTGGGTGCCCGGATAGAACCGCTGAGGACCGCAAAACAGCTCACACTCTCCAGTACCAAAGCCGGAATTCATAGTCAAGTGGCGGTGGTGGCGGTGGCTACTGCAAGGCCACCAGGCAACCCGGTACTCAGAGTCACGACATCGTTGGGATACCTACGTTCACAGCTAGACTCTCACTACTAGGTAGCGATGAGCGCAGGGGCAGGCCTGGTGACACGATGCCGCCACGCGGAGCGAGCACATTCCTGCACAGCATGCTCGTCAGCGTCAACAGAAATCCTAGCGGCAACAAGCTGATGCACTGAGCAATGAATGTCAATCGTCAGACAATACTAAAAACCATGCACTCTGAAATTCTCGTGTCGCACATACAGCGCGTCGCCAGCTGTATAACACATTATGCTGCTGGGGGCGGGCAGTGAGAGGAGAGATAGGGAGATCTCGGAGTGTTGTCTGGATCGGGGAACGTCACTGCATGCTCCATGGCTGACTAGGTACGACATATCTGAGCCGACAGTATTCACACACACACTACAAAGGAATGTGTTCATTTTTTCGGCCTGGCCGCACGGCTTGCGTCCCCGTCCGGACTGTGTTTTCTCTGCACAAGCGCACACAGCCAGGAGTACAGACGTAGAGATGCGTGCACACACACGCACGCACACACACACACACGCACGCACACACACACGCGCACACACACATGAACGTACATAATTATACAGACGGACAGATAGACAGGCAGCAACGGTGGATAGGCGGACTACACAACGAGAGCAAGACTAGACTGGTTGATACGGATACTACCAAGAGTACATGAAACATATCAAAAGATGAGAGTGAGTAACATACTGTAGTGTCGCGTATAAAAGCATGACCTGTATAGAAGCATGACTCGAATAGAAGCTGTGATACAGAAGCATGATTTGAATAGAAGCCGCTCTCTGCAAAGTACATGTGCAAGTACATGTGTGCAAGTGTGCACTGCACAGTGCAGACTGATGATGTTGACATAGAAGCATGTTTTGAATAGAAGCATAACTTGAATAGAAGCATGGTTTGAACCCCGGCTTATACGGCCGTACACACCTGCTTTTATACGCGACATTACGGTATTCTAAAAAGCAATCAAAGTACTAGCAAGATTCGCTACAGTACAGTCAGATCTCGTATAACCGCACACATCCGTTTCCACAAAAAAATATCCGGATAGACGAGGGAACCGGATAATCGAACCCACATACTGTATGTATGCATGACATATGCTGTAAATCGGTAACCGACGATTTTCTTCCGGATGTCGAGGGATCCGGATAATAGAGGACCGGGTAAGCGAGGTCTGACTGTACATGCAACACCCACCCATGAGTGCCCCCCACATGCAACTGTACAGTGCACGCATTGCGCGGAGTTGTAGGCAATGACACTTGGCTGCTGGGATCGTTTTCATGTCAAGAAAACGTGCACCGTGGATCAGACACGACGGGTCATAGAGTTGTACACTGTTGGTGATACACGGGGGTAGTACCGTACAACAGGTACTTTTGAAGTACTCTAAAGGCCTTATAAGTATATCTAACTTACATGTAAGTGCTAAACCTGTTTTGAGCTGTTTTTCTTCTCTCTTTTTCTTTCCCTACTAGTTGCTGTTACACTCACTGATCCTTATGCACAGATATACAGCATTCCCTCACTAGTGGGACCATTGTTATTAGGCTAGGGCCTGTTTAGGACTTCCCGCTCTAAATAAAGAATACAAACAAAACAAAACAAACAAACCTACCGAGGTAACGAGTAGAAATCTGCCGTTAAACTAGAAAATGTTATACAGAAATCTTATACTGCTGCTAGGGAGTGTTGGGAGCGAGTGAGAACCGTTACCTTTGCTACACGTAAACTGGTCAGTTCTAGGAAATCGTTATAATTATTTGCGGCTCGTTAGAATACCGGCTTTTCCAGACAGTGACAGTTCTACATACCTTGACACCTTGTAACGCCATCATGGCATTCTCGGCGGCGTCCTGTGAGCGCTCCTTCTCAGATATGGAGTGCTGCCGCACCAGATCCACAACCAAGTTAGCGTTATCTGACTCCAACACTGCAGCGCACGCATGCACATGGACGTAAGAGTGACACAGGGTAGAGAGCAGGCTTACACAGGGTACTGTCTAATGTTTACGACGTATTAATGTTTGCTAATTTTGCGAGAAGAGCAGAACGCAAATATTAACCATCGTGAAATCAAACTCATCTGTCATCAGTTCGCGCCTGGCACCTACTAGTAGTCGATGCATGGCTGGTGGTATCCGACATAGCAGGCTGGTACATCAGGTAGCGCATGGCACATAGAAGATGACACAGCAACGACATAGCTCGATTGCGACGTGCGTTTCATCTCCGCTGGTCAAACTGGTGTAGCCGTCGTCCAAGCAGAGACCATTCCTTTATCTGCTATTCACTTCTTATCTTCCTCCACTGAGGAGCTCTGAATGAGCGAAACAGCTGTGTGGAGGATACGCAACATCTACCCGAGAACGAACTTCCTCACTTTGGAGTGATGTTGTGAAGGTGGGCCAAGAGCGCAGTTTGGAGAGGTGGAGTGTTTCAAGATCCAAATGGCCAAGTTCGTCGCAGCTTCCACGATAACAATCCTACACATACCGTACTTCCCCACACAAAAGCGAAATTTGCTGCAAAAAAAGATTTTTTGCTGCGTAAACTGTAAACATGTTTGGGTAGTAGCACAGGCGCTTTATTTGTGCAATAAAAGTTTGTCTGTGTCCTAAACAATGGTGTCATCATAATGCTTAGTACATGTACTGTTCAGCTCCCGGGTGTTTCACCAATCGTGTTCACATATATAAGCATATGCGCTTATAAATGGGTGTGCGCTTAGGTCCGGACATAAGCCTGTGCGCTTATATGTGCAGAAGTACGGTGATCCCAAGAGTATATAACCCCCCAAGAGTGTGCAACTCTCCATATGGGGTCTTCGACGGCGAAAACTCACATCACGTGTCTCAGATACATTTGTACTACGTACAAACGAAGGATAGCGTGCACGCAATCTGAATATCTGCCATGATCATGCTGGGGACTTGCATACCCGCAGTGAGTTTCTGTCAGAGAGTGCTTTTTTTAATACTCCGCTGCTCGCTAAAATCAGGCTGGAAACGTACAACTGCGACACTGCACCACGTGATGTGAGTTTTCGCCGTCGGCGTACCCCAAAGAAAGGGTATCAGGAGTTGCACACTATTGGGGGGGGGGGGGGGGGGGGGGGTATATACTCTTGTTAATCCCAATAGACTTACTTGGTATATCGTGTTGCTCCTTCAGGCCAACATGCTTTGGTGCACACTTGTTGGTCTGGATAAACAAAAACAAAACACGTCCATCCAATGTACACACACACACACAGACACACACACACAGACACACACACACACACACACACACACACACACACACACACACACACACACACACACACACACACACACACACACACACACACACACACACACACTCACAGACACACACATGCACCATATCCGGGTAAAACATGGGACACTCCGTAAGGCAGCCCAAGACAAAGTAAGTACACTATGTATAGATATTTAAGTGGAAAAGAAGGTTGATTATTGCATACATGTATGTACCCAATGCTGTAGACAGCAAGCTGTTTCGGTCATAAAGGCCTCATCAGTACAGCTACGAGCTAAATAGGCCAAGCTACCAGCCATGGTGCAAAGGAGGCACCACAGACATTAAGATAGCTCGTCGCTCTAGCACCAGAGTGCTCAAACTACAAAAAGCAGCGGGCATTGCGCGATGCAGCAGCACTAGAGCAGCCTACTGAGAGTGCTCAACAAGACGAAAGCCGAGGAGCGTAATACCCAACATGTATGTATATTAGCATCATGTCTTTTAGATTCGGGATGAGACTGTCGCTAAGCACAAAGCAAATGAACGGAGAAACCAGTCCTCAATGCTGGAATTTCTTTCCAGTTCATCATCCGCCAATACAAACTTACAACCCGAGATATCGTCTGAATCAGAATCGTCAGAAGATGAACTCGCCTCTGGCAGAATTTCACGGAAGACCTTACCCCGTGTTCAAATGGAAAAGAAGAGCCGCAACCTTTATGCTGAGCACAAGGTAACAGGAGTGCTCCTTGAATTCAAGGTAAAGAGAGATGTTACGTCTATTTCGAATTGCCCTCTAATGATGATGTGATCTGTTCTGTAAGTTTGCTAAGTTGTATTGTTAGGTACCTCCTCCCGTACTTATCCGTCGAACTTTGAGACTACAAGTTGAGCTCTATCCTTCGTGTTCTGTTGTCCGACCGATCCGTGCGATCTTCGATCTTCACTAGTCTTTCTTTCAATCGAACCTCTGAGACTCTCTTTCTAACTGTTGTCGACTTGAACTGTTTTGATCCTCGTCCTATTGTGACCGTGGCTGCTTGCGTGAGATCTCCCGATCCTAACATTGCCGTGTGCGAGTGCGTTGCATATGTGAGATCGTGAACCTAACACATTGGCAACAGTGTCAATGGATAGTATGTGTGTCAATGTAATTGAAGTTTATGTTTTCTTCACCCACAGAATTGGCTCAACACTCGCTCTGGCAAGAGCAAAAAACTCAAGCCAGTTACGCAGGACAAGTACTTATCAATCATGTGCAAGGCATTGCATTACTGCAATGAGGAGGAGGAGGTGGATCAGGACTCGCTCACCAAGGAAAGAATAGAGCAGTGCGTTCATGTGCTTGAGGAGCACTGTGGCGAAGGTCCGGGCGGCATTTCCCAGAAACTCACTGGAATCATTCATTTCAAGGTAATAGTACATTTCTACAAGTATAGAGCAATTCAACTATTTCTTTACATTCAATGCAGAATTTCCCGGACCGCGTGCCCTTAGAGGCGACTACCGCAAATCTTGCCAAGAGGGCAACTATTGACCAGGAAGTGAAGTGGGTTAAGACAATGCTAGACAACATCGAAGTCTCCATCAAGGGGCAAACGGCCATGCTGAACGAGCTCCGTGAATCGATGGAATGCAAACTGACCAGCATTGACAAACTGGTGAAATGCAGAAATTCACATAGCCGTGTGGAGAGACTACTTAGTGGACAAGAAGGGGGTTTCAAGACCGTCCAAAAAGAAGTGAGTCATAACAGTTCCCTTTATGTATGTTCTTACTGAACTTGTCTGTTGTGCTATGTAAAGAGAAGAGGATGTCTTCCTTGCATTTCTAACAATGTATCCATCATTGATTTGTTATTCGCCTTTAGGAATCCTCTATTCGAAGAAGAACCCAAACCACAGAATGGAAGTCAAAGTGTTCAAACACAAGACAGGCGCAATTAAGCCTGCAGCACTGACGATTCCCAAGGAACTCGAGGTATTCTTCAAGCGAGTGTACCGCCAAAGGCGTCGGCAAACCACCGACAGAAAGGCATTCCTCTTTGTCAACAGCAAAGGTAAGCAAATTCTAAATTGAGCTGATTGTTCAGTAACTGGTGGCGTTAGCGGACATTATAGCGTACCTTGTAGTTGTACATGTAGTTCCTGTATCCCATTTCCTTTCCATAAATGCTGCATTATATCGTTTGTTTATGATGCGTACATTTTAATCAAGTCTTCATATTCCTATACAGATAAGCAGGTGGACACGCACCACATGGCTCGGGTTTTCGCCAAAGTTAAAAGGGAGTCGGGGATCGACATCCCGGATAATGCCACGCAAGGGCGCTTGATGAGTTTGTCGGCTGCGGCCAAGAGACTGTCACCCAAGGCTACAGCAGAAATTGCGACCGAACAAATGTCTCACTCCCAGTAAACAGCTCAGGTAAGCGTCATTGAATCTTTATACGTGGTTATACAGTACGTTGTCTCGATCCCTGATTGTCAAAACGTGTACGTATATTGACCTCTCCTGCACTCATTTACAAGAATAACTATGTTATCATGCGTTTATTTGCAGCAATACTACTGGCATGTAGGTAGGTGCTAGAGACGTAAGAGACAGGGCGTACAACAACCTGAGGAAAGCTCAGATGGAGAACAGCAGCTCCTCTGATGATTTCGACCCGAAAGTAGACGACGTTGCGACATCAACACCAAAGGTATCAGTACATCTGTACATGTAGGACTCTATTGCATAGTAGCAATTATCAAATATCCGGATAGGCGAGGGAACTGGATTACCGAACGCCGTTTATGTTGGACGCATCACGTATGCTGTAAATATGAAACCAGCTATTTTCTTCCGGATGGGGAGGGATCCGGATAAAAGAGGACCGGATAAGCAAGGTCTGACTGTAGCAATGTGTTGACCACGTTTTGTGACCAACTTAAAAACTGTTTTTTCATCAACCGCCACACCAGACGTGCGCTCTCCAGTCACACAGCACACTACCAGCAAAGCAGCGACACATCCATTGCTGCTGAAGAGAGCAGGAGAGCGGAGAGCACAGTTATGCTGTGCTGGTTGATGAGAAGCCTGTACAGGGCCAAATACTGCTGCTTACCACTTTATCTACTGTAAAAGCAGAAATTTTCGGTGGTGTAATATTTTCGGTATTCTCCAAAATCGGCGGTTCGGTAGAGGGAAATTTTCGGTAAAACCCGTTCTCCAGGTAAGTGTACTTGTACTACATGTATACAGTACCGGTAGTAACGAAATTTTCGGTGCGTTTTATTTTACGTAAAAATTCTTCGCACCTAAGTTACTGAAAATAAAACACCACCGAAAATTTCTGCGTTTACAGTACGAGTAAAGGCCGATTCACAATACAACTTTCTGCGACGCGACACGCGATTTGCGACAGTTGCGACAAGAAACTGCCTGTCGCGAGCTGTCGCAAGTTGTCGCAAGGCAGCTGTCGCAGAAGTTGAAGAAAGTTCAACTTTTGCGACATGCGACACGCGACATACACAAATGGAGTACCCATTCGACCCTGGGTGCACGTGCATTGAAGAAAGTTCAACTTTTGCGACATGCGACACGCGACATACACAAATGGAGTACCCATTCGACCCTGGGTGCACGTGCATTGCACGTGCATAGCCATAGTACTACTTGTGCATAAGGATGTCGCAAACATGAAAAAAATTGTGAACCGTGTCTCGCTGTCGCAGGTGTCGCAAGTCGCAGGTGTCGCAAGTCGCATGTCACGTCGCAAGAAGTTGTATTGTGAATCGGCCTTTATGAGTTACACATGGCCCTGTGCCATTTGCATGCATTGGAAATCCTTTTCGTCAACCTGGAAATTCCCAGATACCAGAACCCGGCACTACTCGGCTGGGAATCCTCACATTGCGTGGATCCATGCGTCCAATCCGCAGGTCACGCTGCGCAATCCGAAAATTCCCAGAATGGGCAAGCAATCTGCAAAATCTGAAAATTCCCAGAATGCAGAATGGGAATTTTCAGATTTCGCAAATCCTCAGAATGCACCGAACATGTACATGATTGCTTACTGGATATTGCGATGCTCCTTTGCACTTGGAGAAGTTATCCTTGTTGAATGACGGCAAGTCCCTCAGGAAAGGTGCCTGTAGGCGGGCGAACCACACATGCAGCACAGACGGGGGCGCACCATACAGTCACATCAAATATAGGAGCACGCAAAATTTGAAAACGCGCACACACACACGCGCGCGCGCACACACACACACACACACACACTCAGACAAGCACGATAACATTTTTCTAGTGGTAAATTCGTAGCAAATGCAATACTGTATCTGAATTCTGAACAAAACAGCCTCAGGCCAAAAAAATTGTTGATAGCAGGGCACGACCGCTTAGAAACCACGCTGAATGTATAATTATGTTCCAAACCAAACAACTACACAGAGAGGTAAAGACATACTTCAAGTACTAATAATAGGGAGGTTTCGCTCTACGTAAATCCGTATGAAAATCCGTATGTCGTACACGCCGGGGAGCGAGGGCAACTTTCATACGTAAATCTCTCTACGGATTTCCGTAGGAAAGCTGTTTCCTACGTTGGGTCCTCCGTAGGACTTCTTGATATAGTTTTTCGCACTTTCCGGATTTGTCCATGGCAACGTTTTGCACGTGGTGTACGGTGTGTGTACGCGCGAAACACAAGGTACACACACCGTACACCACGTGCAAAATAAAATGGAAAATGCGGTTTCTGTTCGTGGTGCATGCGGTGGGCGCATGCAGCCATCGCGTCTCCAAAGCAACAACGCATGTTTAGCAGTCGTGGAGAAATCACGTAGAGCGAAACCCAACAGCTCTGATTTTTACGTATGAAAATTCCGTGCAGTTCCTACGTTATTTTCATACGTAATTCCGTAGAGCGAAACCTCCCTACTATACAGAATAATGGTACATGGACAATGTCACATGATAGAATTTCAGAATTTGTATTATCCACACATACACATACAATTGTGAAAATGGCAAAGGTAAATCTTACAGTTTTCGCCCTCGTGGTTTCAAGCTCCATTGGCGTGTCCATTGTGTTGTTAGCTATTAGTAACTGTGATTTTCATACTGTATTTACTGGCGGCATGCAGCGGGTTGTCATTGAAAATGATAAAATTGATGAGGTTCAAGATTCAGCACAGGTGATGTTCGGCTCCGAACTTCTTCCTCCACATCAATTACTACCGCACCTACTAAAAAACAGGTCCTTCTACCACCCTTGAATCTGCTCGCATGCCCTTCCTGCTCACATAATCATTGCATTTGCAACCAAAAAAATAATCCTTGAATTATCATGAAGGGAACGAAAAATGAAGATTGCAGAAGTGCAAGAAATCAAGCAAATCACATCACGAATCGATGCATCACATTCACAGTTCAGAGTTCACATCATCAGGCACATGCACTGTGCACACGCACAGACATGCACCTGCACCGACGCGTCAGTCTTCCACGTGGTGCAGAAGTAATTCGATTTTTGAAAATTTTGAACGATCGATCATGGCATGCATCGTTTTAAAATTTTGTCTACGACCTCGTATTATTTTTGCATCAGAATAGTTTGTAGTGGACCTATCAAATCCTGCTTGTTTGTCTTTGGCCCTACGACAACAATCTTTACTTTCTTTGGATGCTGACTGTGTGAGAAAGGGAAACCTGCTGCCAACAAAATTATAAAGGCCAAGATTCGTGGTGTACTCTGCAACCCCGCGACAAGTACGGACTATTCGCTGATCGTGGTCGAGTCTGAACAGCTTGCTACTTTTACTAGTAGCACTATTCTTGTTTCAGAATGACTGAGGAGAGAAAAGATTACGTGCTTCTGTCTCACGATGTGCTGAGTATTCAGAAGTGTATTGATCTCGTTGGGGACACATCAGCTGGTGCAATATCCACCTTCATAGGTGAGGTTTAAAGGACTTTTTACGAGCAGATCTGATCATCAAGACCAGATAATGTAGTAGCTGACTGCATGTACATGCACACCACGAACACATACACCAACCAACAATGCAACATATTGCACCGCTCGGGTGATGCTTTGCACACAGAAGCACGCAACGCACACTGCATGTGCGAATATGCACGACTCGCGCAAGAGACTGGGCCATGGGCACGGAAATCTGCAGGTAACGTTATTCTGGATACACGCGTATTGCGGCTGATTTCCTCTTCTAGCAACAGCAGGGGACAAGGTCCTCTAGCCAACCCACATACTGGTAAAGCAGTATGAATCAAGCCCATGCTATGCCCAATGCACACCTGATCTATACCTGCCCTGGTATGTCAGGATCTACAAACAGTTCTGTCCGCAGATTGAGTATGTCCAGGGGCGTAGCCAAGATTGTGGCTGAGGGGGGTGCTCACTGGAAGTGTGGGCCTGCGCCCGAAGGGCGCAAAAAATGGGGGGGGTCCGGGGGCCCTCCCCCTGAAAATTTTTCGATATTGAGTGCCAAATCCTTCATTTTTGCATCTATTTCATTATTTTCCATTCCACCAATGATTCAATAAAAAGTCAGATAATCGTATGAAACGCACAGTACTTTGCTACAGAAGTTGGATGGTAAGAGATTGACAGGGTGTGGTTGGACCCAGAATATAATACAGACAATTGTTGAAATTTTTGAGGGGGTGCTTGGGCACCCAAAGCACCCCCCCTGGCTACGCCACTGATGTCAGGATCTACATGCACGTGCAACGTCGCAGACAGTTGCCTATGCACACCCTAAGACTTATGTATGTATTGGACTATTGGGTGATCTGTGTTACTTATCACTGATGAACTCACACACACAAACACACACGCACGCACGCATACACACACACACACACACACACACGCATACACACAAACACACACGCACGCACACACAAACACACCTCAGACCTCAGACATGCCCATCGCGGAAGCGATGATAGCGAACAGCTATGTTAGACATAGCAACTTGTGCTGGGATTACACCATTCAACAGCTTGCAAGGCTGATGAATTGACCGCCACTATTTTTAGCCTGGTATCCACCACACAGCTGTTTGAAGTGACTTTTTCTGGCCAGTGAATCCCTATTATTTTTTCATTTTTCCATTTTACACACACACACACACACACACACACACACACACACACACACACACACACACATCTACATGACTGTATGTACATGTGCTATCAGCTTTACCAGCAGTGCTAAGTGAGCTCTGTTTTGGTTTCTCTTGGTATTCACTACTTCAGGCACAACACGGGATCATTTTCAAGGTGAGCAGACACTGCCTCGCTTGAAAATCTTCCCCTATCTTTGGTGAGGTGTCCTTAGTTGAGCAAGGCCGTAGCAGCCAATCTGGTTGGACCGGCCATGGCCGGACCTCGCTTTGAAAACATTCACCCACCCATTTCGAAGCAGGGTTTCCGTCAATAATAATGTTCATTTCTGCTCAAGTGTTCCATTAGGTCTCAATGTACATGTGCTTCTATATTTGATCGGGCGTGGGTATTCATAGACTTCTCTGACGACTGGATTAAAATTACACGGTTTGTTTAGTGAGACCTCCACCACCGTTGATATCCTGTCATGATGAGTGATGTGTATGGCATTGGTCCAGGCCTCCGGGAATGTGTTCTGCCATGAGTGATGTATGACATTGGTCCAGGCCTCCGAGAATGTGTTCTGCCATGAGTGATGTATGACATTGGTCCAGGCCTCCGGGAATGTGTTTTGCCATGAGTGATGTATGACATTGGTCCAGGCCTCCGGGAATGTGTTTTCTTGACACCTGTAGCGCTTTTTGTTTTGTTTTTGTTTTTTAGGCAAACGGGTTCTGAAGTTGTCCTATGAAGCATATGAGAGCATGGCAGAGTGTCAGCTGTATGCTCTGTTGAAGTCTGTACGAGAACGCTGGAACGTACATCATGCTGCTGTCTTTCATAGACTAGGGTTAGTCGCTGTGTGTGTGTGTGTGTGTGTGTGTGTGTGTGTGTGTGTGTGTGTGTGTGTGTGTGTGTGTGTGTGTGTGCACGCGTATGCATGCATGTGTGTGCACATGTGTTTAGTAATGCTGAGTATGTTTTTTTTTTGTCGAGGAACAACTAGTTAGGGCATCTTCTGATTATTTCCATTGATGTTTGTGTTGCTGCTGCTATTGCTATCGCTCCTATTGACACTGCTGCTGTTGCTGTTGCTGGTGCTGATACTAGTGTTGGTGATGGTGATGGTGGTTGTGGTATCACTCACAGACATGTTACTTGTACTTGGCTGCCTGGTGTTGTTCCCAAACTCACTATGCATGCCGCTCCACGTGTGTGTGTGTGTGTGTGTATGTGCGTGTGTGTATCTGTGCGTGTGTGCATCTGTGTGTCTGTGATCTTCAACAGGGAAGTTCCCATCGGCGAAGCCAGCGTAATGATTGCTATATCGTCTTGTCATCGCAAGGAATCACTCGAAGCAGTTAGCTATGCCATCGACGCACTGAAAGCTAACGTGCCAATCTGGAAGAAGGTGAGATGCACCGTACCCGTATGCTACTGTTGTGGACCGATTGAAAATCCGATGGGATGACCGGTGCTGGCGCCCTTACTGCTTTTAGCGCACGTACATGCACTTTAGTTTACGTACACACTGTAAACATGGACCAGCAGTGCTCTCGGCTGCAAGGCCAGCATGGCAGCAGTGCTCGCGGCTGCAAGGCCAGCGCCCCGTGGCCCCTTGACTTCTCGATGGATTTCACTGTCCACAGCAGGTGCTGTGGTACAGTGGTAGTCATGGAGACGGTGCATGCGTTCCATTGACATTCTCTCCTTGTGCTTGTCTCCCACTTGCTTGTGCATTGGGTATGCTGCTGGTTTGGTTGAAGTTGAGAACCTCTGATGTGTCCGATCTGTCCAGTACACCTGTTTAGTGCAGTCCAGATAAAAGCTGGTCGATTCTTCTTTCTGCGTGTAACTAACGCAATAGACACCTGCTGTTCTTACTCATTTGTGGTGGGTCTGATCTACTCACCTCACACCTCTTTAGGAGCTGCATCTGCGCCCTCATCCGTAGAGGGTGGCAGTGTTCCTACGGACGCGGAAAACTTGGCCTCCAGCCTAGCTGAGTCTCACCCGAACCGTGGTTTTTTTATTATGTTTTCTCATGCCTGGAACCTCTCTGTTTTATTTGTTCTCATGTTGTGTTGCGTGGCAGGAGATCTACGATGATGGTGACAGCACTTGGAAAGAGAACAGTGAATGCTCTTGGGCTACGTCAGCGACTGCTGCACATTCCTCCTCTGCTACTCCTGCGATTGCCAAAGAACATCAGTCCACATCACAGCAAACGACCAGCAAGTGTGAAGACGGAATGGCTTCCGTCAGCTAGCTACCGGTATGTGCTGGCGGTCCATTGCGGATCTTGCAGCACGTCATGTGCGCTCTCGTCAATTGATCGGTAAGATATCAGCAGCAATGTCTCTGCTCCTGGGTGGAAGAGGATAGGGCAATCTACAGTGTGATTTTCTCAGACTCAAACTCAGGCTCTGTCAAGCAGTGCAGCTCCAGTGGATTGGTTTCTTTGCGTGCACTGCGGAGAGTATCGTGTTGATTGCTACGCTGTGTGATGCTGGTGGTGGTGGTGGTGGTGGTGGTGGTGTGTGTGTGTGTGTGTGTGTGTGTGTGTGTGTGTGTGTGTGTGTGTGTGTGTGTATGTGCTGTCTTTTCTTCCTGTACAGCTGATGTCCGCATGCAGCTAGGAATATTCCACTACGTGTTTACATTGTACATGAACGGTGTACGCGGTCAGCTTCTCAACACACTGACTAGTCAGCGCATTGTGTGTGTGAGGATTGTCCAGCCAGCAGTACTGCATACTGAATAAGTTATCTACTTCATTGAGCAGCTCAACATCCACTCGGAGTAATCCTCTGTGCCGACCAGTATGTATTCCTTGGCGCGGCTTGCCATGCCCTGCGGTCAGACGAATACACTATGAGACTGACTCCAACTGACTGGGCAGCACTGGAGCGCGCAGTTGTCATTTGATTGACTTGAGTAATGGCTAGATAGCGGCCACTGGTCATGCACTGCAGCTTTCTGTTGTCATCACTGGCTGTGTTGTACCATGCTGTCGGACTGTCATTTGAATGCATCATAGTGCCGAGAGCGAGCGAGAGAGAGAGAGAGAGAGAGAGAGAGAGAGAGAGAGAGAGAGAGAGAGAGAGAGAGAGAGAGAGAGAGAGAGAGAGAGAGAGAGAGAGAGAGAGAGAGAGAGAAAGAGAGAGAGAGAGAGAGAGAGAGAGAACAGTGGGATGGAGGCACTTGCATTTTGGTCATGCTTTGCATATCCAAAGCTTGGCATATGCAGCTCTCTGCTTTCGACTATGAACGAAACGACAACGTCAGCTGAGGCAATGCTGGGACAATCTGATGGCACTGCAGCTTATTATCTGCTGCACATGGCTATCATGCAGATTATCGCTTACATAACGTTACAGTACAGTGTGCCTTCTGTACTGTACTCTACATATTGAACAGTGAACATGATTCAAGCCCGGCTATAAAGTACAGATTTTACGATTTTCCTTTGATTATGCCCTTGACCTGGTCTTTCAGCACAGACTGCTATTATAAATATTGTGTTGCTTTTGGCCGAAAAAAAGAGGCCCGTTGACCTTTTGTATGGCCCTTGGGGGTGTGTTGTACGCTGTGCTTCATCATAGTTCTAACTTATTTTTGTCTTATTTTCACTTGAGTTACTGTGGCTGGTACTGCAGTTCGCCTTTGACTTATAAGGTGCAGAGCGTCTCTGGAAACCGATGTCCATATTGTACTAACTTAGTAGGTGAGAGTGGAGTTGGGGACGTCTTCTCAATCTCAGGACATACTAGTTTGGACATTGAAATCCGGTGAGAAGTCAATCGGGCACGGCACGGGGCGCTGGCCTTGCAGCCGTGAGTATGCATACAGTATACATACACACGACTCCATTGAGTGCTGGACAATGCCGGTCTATTTTCGCAGTGTGTACGTGAACTACAGTGATAAGCCTAAGCCTGAGGACACTGCATGGTCCTGATCATTCCACCGGATTTCAATGTCCACAGCTAGGGGTGTCAAAAGTGGTAGGGTACCCGTGCTACCCATAATTAGAGCGGGTATTCGGGTAGCAGTTTGCTCCCGATAGGGTAGTTGGAGTACGGTGTTTCCGCAACGGTGCATGTAAAAAGCACGGCTACGTGCTTACTGTACACTTCCTATGTAGCACAAGTGCACACTCACCGTACAAACTATGTAAAAAAAACACCCGATAGGGTACCCGTGCTACCCAGATAGAAATATCCGAACTCGTTACTGGGCCAAACCCCTACCCGTTGCAGCCCTATCCACAGCAGACATACATGTATGTATGTACGTATACCGTGATGTCATGGGAACTGGTTCAGGACTCTCTTGGGGCACACTTTTGGGACCGCATGTCACCTACACTCAGACCTCGGTTATCCGGACCCTATACGACCACTTCGGTCTATCGGTCACTCTTTGGGCGAGTTTTAGTGGAAGTATTACTACTCTTTTGTCGCTTTTCGTGGAAATAGTGACGTCATACCGGTATGCCATATTTACGGACTTTCCCCATCAAACTGTACGTGATTTGAAGTTACGAGCAGTGCCCGGTCCCGGACCGCCCGAATATACAAGGTATAAGTGTACTTCAAGTACAGTCAGACCTCGCTTAACCGCACACATCCGTTTTCCACAAAAATATCCGGATAGACGAGGGAACCGGATAACCGAACGCACATACTGTATGTATGCATGGCACATGCTGTAAATCGGTAACCAACGATTTTCTTCCGGATGGCGAGGGATTCGGATAAGCTAGATCTGACTGTACATGTACTGTCATGGACATGGAAATCCGGTCGCGTGTCTAGCGGCCCCAGGGCGCTGGCCATGCAGCCGTGTGAAGCGGTACACACATGCATTTCTGCGCTGCAGCGCGCTGGTGGCATCGGGTCAACATGTGCACGACATTCAAAGTTCTGTACTCGCTGAGGGCGCTGGCCCCAAACATTCGACCGGATTTCCATGTCCACGACAGTACATGATTGTAGCAAGAGTACAGAACTACACTGTGTAGTTATGTACTCTTGATTGTACTCATCAATGTCATCATCATGTAGCCCAACTCACACAGAAAAAATGTAGCCAACCTGCATGTGTCAAGTATTTTAAACATGGGCACAAAAGCTGGTACATATTTTAAAAAGAGAAAAAGAGAAAAAAAATGAGCGTGCTCCCAGCAGGGCTCGAACCTGCGACATTCGCGTTATTAGCACGACGCTCTAACCGACTGAGCTATGGGAGCTCATGATGCTGCACAGAGTATGCAGCATTACGACTTCTCAGTGTATCATACGCGTATCATATAAGTGGGTTGCTACTGGAAACTTAGGCCAAGTAAAAAAAAAAGCTAGATGATCGTCCCCGTCCGCCCCAGTTTTTGTCAGCGCCCCAAGAAATATTTTATTTTTTAAATCGTGAGTTTTACTATATGGACCACATACTACTAGTATCACAACGTCAGTATCGATCTGCTGAAGAAAGAAAAAGAAAAAAAGAAAAAAAAAGAAAAAAAGAGAAAAAAAACCTTGATGTTGTTGTGTACACTGTGTGCATGAGAGGGTAAAAAGTAAAAAAATAAAAATAAAATCCTCCCGCCCTCCCCGATTTTTCCAAAAAAAAGGACGATCATCTAGTAATTTTTTTTACTCGGCCTTATGTTATAACGTTACTTCTGCTCAGCGGAGGAAAAAAATGAGCGTGCTCCCAGCAGGGCTCGAACCTGCGACATTCGCGTTATTAGCACGACGCTCTAACCGACTGAGCTATGGGAGCTCATGATGCTGCACAGAGTATGCAGGATTACGACTTCTCAGTGTATCATACGCGTATCATATAAGTGGGTTGCTACTATACTGGAAACTTCTGCTCAGCGGAGCCCTACACTGGCCCTATACAATGTAGGGTTCCCTGCTTCTTGCCATACAAACAGAATGACAAGGCACGGTTGACTCTCCACATATGTTGCTAAGAAATAGGGACCAGGTGCATACGATTGCCAAATAAGATACTGCTGCCAGTGAAACTTGTCTACGGCGCACATCCAAATTTATCCAGTCTAACGTTTCCGTTTTCAAATTCTCCCACCTTGGGCAGCGTTTTGGTTTTCTTCCGTTTTGGTGTACAACTTGTACGTTTTGCTCCACGTACACTAAGCATTCGAACAAAAGGAAAGGATTTGGTTATGTTTTCATCCCCACTGCAGCGTTGTCGGGTAAATGCAGCCTAAGACAACCGCTCAAGGCACCTTCAAAGTGTGGTCTCTGTTACCAGGTAGTCCTCAACTTCTTTGCTGTCCGGCTGGCCATTGCAGCCGTTGTCGCAGGGCCGACGTTAATTGGTGACCCCGACACTGCGCTCTTCGGAGTTTCGCCATGCTACCATCCATCCCTGCAGTATTCTTAGTGTACACCAGGGAGTCATAAAATACTACTTCCTGGTGTACACTACACGTACATGACGATTTGCACGAGGAAAGTGACGGAAATCCCAAGCAAGGCTCATTGCATACCGTTTTCATTCAGTTTGAAGGTTCCGTTCATGCACTATCAGCTCAGAAAATGAGCAAAAAATGGGTCTGTCCGGGATTTGAACCCGGGACCTCTCGCACCCTAAGCGAGAATCATACCCCTAGACCAACAGACCAAGCACGAGTGATAGTCAGTCCCACATAAGTATCTGGATCATGATGACGCAAGGCTTTCAAAAACAATAACGGGAGGCTGAAATTTTAGCCATCACCCCAACCGGCAACAATATTGTGCAGCATGAGTCGCTCATGCCAGTTTTATTTGGCTCGAGTCATTTTGTCTTTGCTCAAGTGCCTGTGCATGATGGTGTCCCAGGTGTGTTCGCCAGTTTTGGCTCTGTGAATCTTTTAAATTTTGCACTTCTATTTCCGAAAAGCAGTTGATGACCTTATCAAGGATAACCTCGGATTGGCACTTAGTAGAGTCTAAACAATTGTATTATACTATCATGCAGGGGTGTCGGAAGGTATTTAGTGTGGTACGATCAGCCATCTCAAGTACAATTTACTTGTGGGTGAGGTGTGGCTGAGCCAAAATTTTCAAAATTTAAAGTCTTAACGGTGTACCTGGGGCAAAGAGCGGTACGGTCAATACCGTACGGTAGTGATCGTAACGTCGCCTCTGCTATACAAGAGAAGAGTGACTGGCATCTTCACACCGATGGACACACTGATGATCATGAAGGACGTGTCGTCGGACCCTACTGATCTTTTTCAGAAAGCAATCAGTAGTTCTGCCACCCAATAATCCCATGCAGCAGTGGAGTGGTGCAGTCACTCACCTCTGCTTAGTTCTACATGATAAACTGTCACAATCATAGTCACGTGAGTCGCTCATCCAGGTACAATACAATAGAGGTTACGCAAATGATTTCATGGGGTGAGTCAGCGAAACCGCTTATGGGCACCATCAAGAGTAGATAAACAAGAGTGTGCAACTCCGGATCTCTTCTGCACACTCTGCAGGTACCCCCGCCTGTGGCGGAATTTTTTGTTGACGCCACCTTTTTTCAGAAGAACGCGCATTTTGCCCCAGAGCAGTGTGAGAGCACGTGCTAGGTATACCGGTACCGACCTTGTAATGTAAAGCCCGGCCAAGTGCACGAGGCAAAACTTTCCAAAGGACTCGCAGCGCGTGCGTCGTCGAAAAGATCACGTCAACAAAAAATTCCGCCGCGGGCCAACCCATCCCGGAGTTGCACACTCTTGTTTATTTACTCTTGGCACCATGTGTGCAGCGCGCGTCGCTAGTGCAGCGTTGTGCTGTGACTTCACCAAAGCCGTATCATCAACTGATGATGTAATCACATAACCTCTTTTGTTATTTTTTTTACTATTATGCTGTAGCATCGCCATCGTCGCCTTTTGCTATACTGAAGACCGCCACTATTCGGCCTGGATCACACTATAGATAGTATTTGAAGTGACTTTTCTGGTCAGTGAATCACCACTTTTGCCCAGATGCACAGCAGCATTCATACACGCACACAAGTACGCACGCACGCATGCACACACACACGCATGCATGTCGTGCGCGCACACATACATGCATTGCATACCTTTCTATGCCGGAGGCAGAGGTTGAACTCATCCTTGAGAATGGTGTACCATGGTGTACTTTTGAGGTACGTACCGTAGTTGGGCGCCGCAGTCACGCGGCAAAGCTAGAATCGGCCAAGCAGGGTGCCGTGGCCACCATAGCAGCGGACAGATCTAATCCAATATGATCTTTACTCGGTCCATCCGAAAATAGTGGTGCAAGTAACCACGGACAGGATGTTGAGTGTCAAGCGGAACGGCGCAACACCATCTCCATCAAAACAGTTTAGCAACGATGAGACTACCAGACCGGCGCAATGCAACAATTTAACGATGGTAGATCTACGTAGATCAGTAGATCTACTCGACGTATGTGAAGTCTCCGCACTGCCAGCTACTCTGACTTTGTGTTTGGCCTCATCAGAGCTCAAAAAAACTGACTGAAGCACAAGGAAACTACGCTACAGTGTCACCAAGAGTCCATAACCGGCGATGGACTCTTGGTGACACTAGTCTTGTAGATCTACTGTAGACAGCAGCTAGTAGCCAGCGTCAGTGCACCACACGTACCGACTGTAGCGATCGGCTACCGCCGTACCGGTAGCTGACTCGGTTCTTGCAAGCATTCCATGGCAACAAGAAAACTATCTGTGCCAGATTACACACACACACACACACACACACACACACACACACACACACACACACACACACACACACACACACACACACACGTGCACACGCGACCATGCCTCTCGGGAGTCTGGTGTTATAAGAGCACCCATAAGCGGTTCCGCCGACTCACCGCCATGACATCATCATGACAGCACCATGACATCATCATTCACATAACCTCTATACAGTAGAGTCGCACGGTGAAGAACGTGGATCCCAAAAACCTCCAGCCTGAAATACTAAGAACGCCACAGCCTAAATAAAAGCTAAGAACGGCGGTGTTGGTTTTCTCGGAGCTTGTGGGATACATATGATCCAGTACGGATTGTTTCTAAGAGCGTGCTATAAGAACGCAGCCAGATTTCTGAAAAATAAGAACGTCCCTGGCTAACTAACCCCTTGGAAACAACGTTCTTGGGCGTGCGACTCTGCTGAAGAACTACTAGTAGTAGTAGTAGTAGTAGTAGTAGTAGAATTTATTATTTTGATAGGGAAGGCCCTACAGACGTTGCCGTCTTGTTACAGGGAACCTAACTACAATCATGTACATGTTGGCCATTGCCGCACAGGAATGGTGATGCAACACTAACCACACAACACACTGCAAGCACCCTGGCCTGGCGTCTTACTATCAGGGAGTCGTAAAATACCGGTATTTTACGACTCCCTGCTTACTATCTTACCCTAATTCACACATGCCCACCAGCAACACAAACAGCCTACAGGTACAGTCCTGCTCAATGAAATCCAGTCAAGTTTCTCAAGTACGCGCCGGGGGTTGCGCAGCCATAGACATGCAAACCGGGGGAGTAGTACAATACAGTATTCTACTACTCCATGCTGTGAACACTGCATGGGCTGCGAAAAGGTGCACGGCGCCAACTTGACTCTCACGACTGGATTTCATTGAGCAGCACTGTAGAATAGTTCACATCCACATAACAAGGCCACGCCGAGTCTGTCCGGAGGTCAAAGAAGTGACCGATAGAAATGAATGCGCCAAGAATTGTAGCCCTGGCGTGTCAGCTAGCGCATTTGTTCTTGGCAAGGCCAGTGTAGCACCAGTGTGACGTCACCCATGCTGGGGAAATCTCCATGCCGGGGTGGTTCATTGGCACCGGCCAATGAGAGTCACTGCGTTGGCTCAGTGAGCATAGCTGTGTGTAGTAAGGATGATAATAACGATGATGGCTAAGAGCGATTTGTAGAATTGTGAAGACAGCAGGTGCACATGCGATCAGAGGAAACACACACATGCAAACCGGTCCGCGACATCATACAATATCTAGAAAGACAAGACCGTGATGATGATAGAGAGATACTTGACGGGCAATACTAGTAGGTAGGATTCTTGCAGACCATAGCAGCTTTAGAAGAAGTATTGGTGCCGTGCACCATGTAGACAACATGTTAGTACAGCGGTACAAGACATGCAGAGCGGACGGCTGTGTGCGTTGAGTTATATAAAGAAAGTCGTGGACATCGCGCACTGACTGCGGCTGATGAGTTTTATGCTGTCTGAAAATCGTAAGGTCTAGTGTTATGCGGTGTAATAATGTGCAGCAGCAGCGTTCTTCATGCATATCAGGATTCAGTCACCTCATGCATAGCGTTAGTGTTGTCTCATGCATATCGTTAGTGTCGTCTCAAAGAATGTGTGTTTCATGGCGGAAGGTTTGTGCGCAAGCAGAAAGCAGCAGCAGCAGCACGCCGCGGTACAGCATTTTCGCTGCAGTAGCCTTTCCACATCAGTCTCCTGTTCAGTAGTAGTTTGAAGTACGAGAGACAACCACGCCTGGAAAAGACCAGCCCGGCAAGGCGCAGCAGCATCGTATGCATTCGTGATCGGAAGCAACGGCAAACTCGTAGCAGAACCATGCCGCCGCAGACTTGAAAATGATCACTTCTTTGTCATCCATTAGCATGGCGGTAAAAAACTAACATAGAACGAACAATTGGACACGCGAACGACAACATTCGTACGCCTCGTGATAGAAAACATTTAGGGACCACACATCCAGTCGGAGCTAAAGGATTGCTCGAGAAGTATTAACCGTTGTGCGCATCACACTAGCGGTCAAACAATCGCCAGTACAGGCTAATTTACCATTCTCAGAACCAGGGGAAAGTGGCCGGATCGAGTTGACTTAGTACGCCGACGTTGCTCGCCTGCTCCAGCAAGCTGTCTGCCCTGTTGACTCCGTCATCATACTGCGCTAGCTCTGCACACCCAGGACAAGAACAGACAAACGAGACAAGCTGACGCGCAGCTCCAAATATACCGTATTTCCCCGGATGTATGTCGTACCCTTTTACATTAGACTTCAAGGGTAAAAAGGGGGGGGGGGGTGCGACTTACAATCAAGCATGGCTTACTACTGAAGTGACCGTATCCAAACAATATGGCTCAAACCCAAAAGTGGGGGTGCGACATACATGTATAATCGAATGTGACTTATACTCCGGGAAATACAGTACACTTCAGGTCGGATTTCGCCGCTTGCAACTAGACTGTACTTTCTGTGTGCCTAGACCAGAGATGGCATACGCCAGTGTACAGAGCTCGGCGGCCCAGCCGTGCAGGGAAGTGGAATAGAGCGGTTTTACATCTGTCACATGACCAAACAGAGCAGCCATGTTGATTTCAACTCTCCACTCAACACCCACATGTATGGGTCACATGACGTCGGCCATGTTGGTTCTACTGTCCACATTAGTGTTGAAACGAGCGTATCTATAACAAACGAGCGATCAGTTCCACTAACGAGCAAGCTATCGATCGAGCGAGCTAACGAGTTTCATTGATGTGGCATTATAATATGGGCCTCAACCAGCGAAAACAGCCCTTTGGGTCAACATTTTCAAAATTCCTTTTTGGTTAGAAATTTGTTGAACCATATCTACTGAAGGACCTCAGCCAAGAAAAAGTTCAATATTCTGATTCTAAACGGGTGTATACACCAAAATACAAGGTGTACCCCAAATTGGTGCAATGTATGTATACGATGTATGTGTACAATGAATATTCAGCATTCGAAGGTGAGTGGGCAGCTTGAATACTTTTGAAATAGTGCAGTAAGCAGCTATAATGACAAAGAATAGCTGATGAGTGCGGAGAAATGATCGACATATTCGCAGCTGCATCCTGCGTGGAGTCGTTCCGCAATCTCGTCTTCCATTTCTTCCTCCGCAGCTGAAGACACGACGTCGCTGCCGTCACTAGCCCCAGACTCAGAATTTATCTCAGGTGACGACTCCTCATCTTCCGACTCTGACGAGTCATCGGCCACCTTGAGCCGCATCGCAGCAGGAGATGACGGCTGCGATTCCGCCTCGCTGTCGACATGCGGATGTCGGAACCAAAGAACGTCTCATCCCTATTCTGAACTTCAGCGGCTACTTCAGCATCCACTCCCGGATCCCCACCAGGCTCGAGCTAGCTGTAGACAATGACTGCCGTGTGTGCGCTGCGAACAGCTCTGGCGTCCGCATCCATCGCAGCAAGATCAAGGAACACTGGAGTCGTCACTCGACACCACTTCAACTAACTTCAAAATAAATTACTTCAAGCAAGGAGTTCAAGAAGTCGTCGCGCTGTTCGCAGCGCGATCAAAACAATCGTTGAACGTCACAAATCGACCTTTTTCTCGAAAAAATTACGAAATCTCTAAGGGTCGTTTTCGCTGATTGCGGCTCATATAATGATTATATGATTATTTTTTTTGAATAATTTTTTTCTAAGTTCGATTTTTTTCAGCTGGTTCAAATAACACCGCCGGCTTTTTGTTTTGCTGCTGCTTCACTTCGGACTGCTGTTTGGTGTCGAGATGTCTTTTCAGCGCCGTCGTCGATTAGCCTTTGTAATAATAGACCGTTTTGCAAAGATTGCAAGTAGCCCTGGTCTTCGCTGCATCGCGGGAGAAAACTTCCAAACGACTGAGCGTAACTTTCACTTGAATGGAGAGGTGACCGAAGCATATCCTGCGACAGGTCAGCAGATGCGGAACAAGACATCGGTAGAGTCCACCAAAGCTGCAACGACAACTGAAACAACTCAAGTGTCGTGCAGGCATACAGTCACCTGTAACTGCGAGTGATTTTCACTTTGCGCGAGACTGGACTCTCGATCGACCAGGGAGTCGTAAAATAGTTTACGACTCCCCAGTCGACATGTACTGCCATGTGTCAGAGTACGGTGTACGGTGTTCGTTAGTGCAAACGAGCTGGCCGCACAAACGAGCCGAGTTTCTGGCGAGCGAGCTAACGAGTATCCGGTGAGATCGTTTCAACACTAGTCCACATGACATGATCACTTTCTATACAAATTTAGTCACATGACAAAGATATGAACACCACTCAACCCCTGCATCTACGGGTCACATGATGTCGGTGGCCATGTTGGTTCTACTGTCTACATTACATGATTACTTTCTATACAAATTTAGTCACATGACAAACTGATGTGAGACACCACTCTATTGTATAAGCAACACAGGAAATGACTAGACACCCACATTGTTACACATTCCACAACGCATGCGGAGACACATCGCCACCATGGATACCGCCACGCCCGGATGTAGACTTGTTGCAAGAGAAGGATCCATGCGCGGGATTCGGGGCCAGCACTCCCTGTCTTTCCGGGACAGTGCCCTACCGATTAGGCTACCGGGGATCACACACACGCACACCCACGCACCCACGCCCACGCACGCACACACACACACACACACACACACACGTGCCTCCTTGTTGCTACAGACTTACCGTGCAGCCTGGCCATCATATCCGTCACGGCCGTGCTCACTAAGGGCACTAGTTCATCAGTGGCAGATATCTCAGGTAGTCCAGCAGAGAAGTCGTCCTGCGTGAAATACCGCTGTGCAGGAAAGAAGAGACGAAATATCAAACATAGTTTTGTGTTTGTCTCCACATGTTTCTTTGTAGGGCTGTGTTCCAGGGGCGTAGCCAGGATCATGGTCAAGGGGGTGCCCATAATTTTCTTCCAATAACGTTCTTTTGAGGAATCTTGTACATGTATGCATATTGTATGCATGCTACAGTCCATTTCAAAACTATAGACGCGTAGGGTTTTTGAAATATTTCAAATTTGGCTGGAGCTTTTTGAGAATAGTTTTCGGAATATTGCTCAGGTCCGCTCCACAATTACTCTCATATAGTTTCTAAACGATTGGATAACAGACGCCCAATTTGGAAAAAATTATGCAGAAAGTGATCACAGATTGTATGTGGAATAGATGCTGGCATAACGGTTTTTGCCTAGGTACGCGTCTATAGTTTTGAAATGGACTGTAGTGCGGTGTACACCTTGAATTATTGATGTATTATGAATGTCTCCAGCTTGCCATTCCAACAATCTACTTCCTCCGCGTCATTAAAATTGTTGCTTCCCAGAGCGATTTTTCGAATTTATTTTGTCCACTCGAGGGGCAAAGAAATCAGCTAGAAATTGAGGCAGAGCATTGTCGACTGACCAAGCTTTAGTTTGTGGCCTCCCGCTTCACTGCACTTGCAGCTGAGGTCGACGTCTTCATCAGAGTTTGAGGCAGACCTTTCAGCACTCAACAATACGCTGAAGAAGACGCGCGTTCAAATTCAGGTCAAGAACCTTCGTTTTCAAGCGATCCATGTCTCCAGGTGGCAGGGGATGAAGGCAAGCTAGCATTTTTCAAGTACACTGTAACGACCTTCCAGCGGGGTAGGGTAAGCAGTTCCGCACCTTCTTTCCTTGGCAAGCGCTTCGCTGATTTTGTCGGTGTTTTCAGACCTGCTACCTTCGCAGCAACATGCGCCACAAGTAGCGCATTTTAGGAATTTGAGACCACTTTGTTCATGGAGTAACTAATACTTGCACACTGACTGCAACGGAAAAGTGCAAGCACGTGTAGTACGATGCAGTACTCGCAGATCTACGTAGCATGCACCCAGTCTGGGCTGAGGGCAGTCACGGTTGTTTGATCATACAATGCATGCCAAGCCAGACCCATGGTCGAAATTTTTGAGGGGGGTGCTTTGGCACCCAAAGCACCCCCCCCCCCTGCCTACGCGCCTGGTGTTCCCAATAAAATAAAATAAAATAATAAATTGAAATTGGGTTGAAATTGTTCAAGTAAAGTGTCATGTTATGTGCGGCCAAGCTTGGCCGTTAATTTTCTAGGTGTAATGTACTGCTGTTATTTGTTATCACTTTGTCCCTTATCTTCTTTGTTCATTTTCCAGTTGCAAGTTTAGTGTTAGTACACGCATTCGTTATTGCTCTCGCTTTCATTGATAAAATAATAATAATAATAATAATTTGAAAGTAGGACGGAGGCAGAAAATATTACAAAAAAAGTATTGTCTACGCATGCATCTACGCAAGAGTCACCACCAGCCAATTAGGACATGTGTCAAAGTATTGAACGTTTTCGTTCCCTTCTTGTCAAAATACTACAGGGAATGATGGAAATAAGCTAAGAGACTACAACTATAAGGAAAAGAAGTTCAGAAATATATCACTCCAATTATGTGTAGAAGTGACACGAAAAAAATAGATGTGAAGAATCAAGAAAACAGCATGCAAATCCAATAAGTGACAAAAACGTAGTGACAAGAAAAAGAGAGAAACATCAAGAGATCTATTTCGCACCTTCACGACGAACAGTGCCAAACAACTGTAAAGACAACACATTCTCCTTCTGAACACAAAGCTCAGGGTCTAACTTACGTATGTACAAAGCTTCCAACACGGCAAGATGTAACAAAGACCTACCACGCGACAAAACAGAGAATACATCATCGGAGTACCACTCACGACAACTAGCACTGCCCGACAGGTGACACTTGATTGCCGAGGTACCGTTTCCCTGACCCGACGACTTGGCCGTTAGCTTTGTACATACGTAAGTTAGACCCTGAGCTTTGTGTTCAGAAGGAGAATGTGTTGTCTTTACAGTTGTTTGGCACTGTTCGTCGTGAAGGTGCGAAATAGATCTCTTGATGTTTCTCTCTTTTTCTTGTCACTACGTTTTTGTCACTTATTGGATTTGCATGCTGTTTTCTTGATTCTTCACATCTATTTTTTTCGTGTCACTTCTACACATAATTGGAGTGATATATTTCTGAACTTCTTTTCCTTATAGTTGTAGTCTCTTAGCTTATTTCCATCATTCCCTGTAGTATTTTGACAAGAAGGGAACGAAAACGTTCAATACTTTGACACATGTCCTAATTGGCTGGTGGTGACTCTTGCGTAGATGCATGCGTAGACAATACTTTTTTGTAATAATAATAATAATAATAATAATAATGAACTATTATAGAAAATCTAAGTTAGAGAAATAACACTAAGAGGAACAGCAGTGAAATTTACAAGTGTGAATTTTAACAATCAAAGCGAGAAATGAACAAAGGAGAAATGAAGGAAAGACAACGTGATAACACATAACAGCAGTACATTACACCTAGTACATTACACGGCGGAGGGAGCAGTGAGTCGGAGAGCAGTGATGGGAGTGATGGTGAGAGTGCCGGTGAGAGTGTTAGTGTTGTGCGTAGGTTTCGTGGTAGCAAGTCTTCAGTGTACAATCATCTGCTAGCTAGTCCTGATTGTTGCAATTCGTATTCCGACTCTTCGTTCACTGTATTGTGCCGTGGTCGTCATGGTTATGGACTACAGTTAAAAGTGTTGGAAGCTATCTATCAGCGTCTGTATAAGCCTAATTTGTGTGTACAGAAAGATAGTATAATTAGGTTGAAATTGTTCAAGTAACGTGTCGTGTTTAGTGCGGCCAAGCTTGGCCGTTAATGTTCTAGGTGTAATGTACTGCTGTTATGTGTTATCACGTTGTCTTTCCTTCATTTCTCCTTTGTTCACTTCTCGCTTTGATTGTTAAAATTCACACTTGTAAATTTCACTGCTGTTGCTCTTAGTGTTAATAATAATGAAGTTGATTGTTCCAACTAGGAACGCAACTTCTAAGTTAATAATAATAATAATAATAATAATAATAATAATAATAATAATAATAATAATAATAATAATAATAATAATAATAATAATAATAATTTGAAACTCGGATGTTGAGCCATAAATAAATATGTAGAAGAGAAAAGGACATATCGATACGAGTTAAGAGTAACTCTCCATCACTGTAACATGATACTATATACAGTCAGAAAGTGCCACAATGTCATGCATGAGGAGTACTGTAGGAGTTTGGCTTTCGGCTTGTACAATTCGTTTTCGCAAAGCTTCCCTTTCTTTATTTATCTTTGATATTTATGACCCACCCAAGTTGGGTGGTGTGCTGCTTTGCTGCTTCGAATTGTAGTTAGACCGCTTTGTCAAATATCGTACTGGTCTCGTCATCGTCCAGTAACAATCGACATTCTTTGTTCCGTTGGGACTGTAGCTTTTGCTCGTTTTCGTTGCGCTTGCCTTCCCCTCTTTGGTCTTTCTATAACCTTGAACCTTCCAAGTTGGAAGGCTGTCGGTTAGCGCTACGGAGATGTGTTGAAGCTAGGTGTCAGGACGTCGAATGTTTCAGTACTCTGTCAGTTTTGTGCCTAGTTATTGCACTTTCTGACTGTATATAGTATCATGTTACAGTGATGGAGAGTTACTCTTAACTCGTATCGATATGTCCTTTTCTCTTCTACATATTTATTTATGGCTCAACATCCGAGTTTCAAATTGCACACCTGATGAGCCGTCACGAACCATACGGCGAAACGTACGTCGTGTGAAACAACTTGTTTTGTAGTCAACTAGTCCATCACAATGTCATGCATGAGGAGTACTGTAGGAGTTTGGCTTTCGGCTTGTACAATTCGTTTTCGCAAAGCTTCCCTTTCTTTATTTATCTTTGATATTTATGACCCACCCAAGTTGGGTGGTGTGCTGCTTTGCTGCTTCGAATTGTAGTTAGACCGCTTTGTCAAATATCGTACTGGTCTCGTCATCGTCCAGTAACAATCGACATTCTTTGTTCCGTTGGGACTGTAGCTTTTGCTCGTTTTCGTTGCGCTTGCCTTCCCCTCTTTGGTCTTTCTATAACCTTGAACCTTCCAAGTTGGAAGGCTGTCGGTTAGCGCTACGGAGATGTGTTGAAGCTAGGTGTCAGGACGTCGAATGTTTCAGTACTCTGTCAGTTTTGTGCCTAGTTATTGCACTTTCTGACTGTATATAGTATCATGTTACAGTGATGGAGAGTTACTCTTAACTCGTATCGATATGTCCTTTTCTCTTCTACATATTTATTTATGGCTCAACATCCGAGTTTCAAATTGCACACCTGATGAGCCGTCACGAACCATACGGCGAAACGTACGTCGTGTGAAACAACTTGTTTTGTAGTCAACTAGTCCATCACAATGTCATGCATGAGGAGTACTGTAGGAGTTTGGCTTTCGGCTTGTACAATTCGTTTTCGCAAAGCTTCCCTTTCTTTATTTATCTTTGATATTTATGACCCACCCAAGTTGGGTGGTGTGCTGCTTTGCTGCTTCGAATTGTAGTTAGACCGCTTTGTCAAATATCGTACTGGTCTCGTCATCGTCCAGTAACAATCGACATTCTTTGTTCCGTTGGGACTGTAGCTTTTGCTCGTTTTCGTTGCGCTTGCCTTCCCCTCTTTGGTCTTTCTATAACCTTGAACCTTCCAAGTTGGAAGGCTGTCGGTTAGCGCTACGGAGATGTGTTGAAGCTAGGTGTCAGGACGTCGAATGTTTCAGTACTCTGTCAGTTTTGTGCCTAGTTATTGCACTTTCTGACTGTATATAGTATCATGTTACAGTGATGGAGAGTTACTCTTAACTCGTATCGATATGTCCTTTTCTCTTCTACATATTTATTTATGGCTCAACATCCGAGTTTCA